TCCCCAATGCATAGATAGGGATGAATATATCAGAGTTTGCTTCGACTTTATGGCCACTTGGAAGAACATCTTGTTTTACAGGAGACTTGCGCTCGAATGGAACTGGTGGGTAGAGCCTCAGTGCTTCACACAAAGCGCCTTGTAAATACACCAACTTGTTCAAAAACTCCTTGAAATCAGTACTAGAGGAAAACATCTCTTGGCCACTTCCGGTTCTTGGTAGATTGGTGTTGATCTCTTGGCGGATCTTGGTCACCATTTTAGGGTTTTCAGACATAAGCCAGAAAAACCAAGTGAGAGTAGAAGCAATGGTGTCTCTTCTCGCGACAACGAAAGTCAAGATGATGTCTCTGAAGAATTTATCGTCGCTCGTGTTCAAGAGCGGGTACTTGATGGTGTCTAGCTTTATGGAGGACGTTAGAATATCTTCACTTTCTTCTTTGGAATGATGAGTAATCCCTTGAGATCTTATCTCTTCCCTCTTGTGTCACGGCCCTATCCCTGGGATCCGTCAAAAACCTAACCTATTTTGCAAGGAAGCGTAATGGATTTCATTTGGGGTTCTTTTGTTAATCTTAATTGGACCATAAGAGATGTGAATTAAAAGGAAGAGAAGTCCATTAGTTAATTGATTGGATTGGATCCAATTGTCGAGGGCCAATTTGTATTAACCTAAAACCCTAGACTTTGTCTTGGGGGGAGTGGCCGTGAAAGGAAAGGAGAGAAAAGAAAAAAGAGAAAAAGGGAGGCAGAGAGATCGTGAAGAGAAGAGAGGAAGAAGAAAGGAAGAGGAGAAGAAGAAGATCTCTACGAGATCGTGAAAGAGAGGAGAAGAAGAGAGAAGAAAGGAAACAAGGGGAAGAGAAGGAGATGAAGACGAGACAGAGAGACTGGATGTGAAGCGGAGACGTCACGGTGGAGCTGACGGAGGCTACGGTGGTGGAGGAGGAGAATCATTGCGACGACACTCGTTTGTGCACTTGAGAATATGATGGTGAGTGAATGATAATACCATTGCATTGTTGATTGTCGGAATGTAATGGTGAGTGAATGATAATTCTATTGCATTGTTGATTGTCGGTTTGTGATGGTGAGTGAATTATAATTCCATTACAGCTTGTAAACCTGGCTGACTAGTCGAGGTAGCAGTAAGACCCGGTAAGGGAAGCTGGCTATCTAGTTTTGTGATGACAATGAGTTATAATGATGAGCAGGGCCGGCCCTAGATCATCTAACACTTAAAGCAAATAAAAAAAATAATGCCTTTTACTAACTCTGTTTTGGTATAACAAAAGAAATCTGAAATTAAAATTGTGTTAAGCATCATTGTAACTTAAAAAAAACGTATGAAAACATCGACACATTACTCATT